AACCACCTCCTAGCTTCTAGATGTTGGACTAAAGGTGTGTGTCTGACTTCTATAGTTTGTGGCTGACTTTGCTTTCTGAATCCTTAGGCAAGCTTTAATAAGTCATAAATAATGTATCACTACAGGGTTGTTTTGGATGTCCTGGTTCTTTGTGTTTCCATATGAATTTTGAGATTATTTTTTCAGTTTCTGTGAAGAATTATGTTGGAATTTTGATGGAAATTGCATGGAATCTGTAGGTTGCTTGTGGTAGAATAGCTGTTTTCACATTATCAATCCTATCTATGATTGTGGGAGGTCTTTCCATGTTCTGGTGTCTTCCTCAATTTCTGTAGTGTACTACAGTTTTCATTATGCAAGCTTTTCAATTCCTTAGTTCTATTTATCCCAAGATATATTTTTTTTGAGGTTATTGTGAATATGACCCTTTCTCTGATTTTTTTCTAGATATGTTTATGTTGGTGTATAGGAAAACTACTGAGTTTTGTGTATTTTGTATCTTGATACTTTGCTGAATGTATTTGTAGAATCATATTTCTTGGATATACTTTGACTTCTTACTTTCCTATTTGTATTTCCATTTATGGCTTCTTTTGTCTTACTGCTCTAAGACTCCAAGCACAATATTGAATAGGAGTGAGTGGGTGTCCTTACCTTGTTTCTGATTCAGTTTCTTGTATATTGCCTATGTTATGTTGAGATATGTCCCCTGTATCTCTAGAGTCTCCAGAGCTTTTATCATGAAGGGATGTTTGTTGTGTGATAATTCTTTTGTATGCTGTGAATATGATTTACACTCATTGGTTAATAACAAAGCTGATTTGGCCTATAGCAACGCTGAATAAGGCTAAGCGGGAAAGCCAAACTAAAAATAAGGAGAGGAAGGGTGGAGTTGGGAGATGTGAGCCAGTTGCCAAAGGGACAAGATGTGCTAGAGGACAGGTAAAGCCATGAGCCATGTGACAAAATGTAGATTAATAGAAATGGGTTAATTTAAGTTGTAAGAGCTAATTAGTAATAAGCCTGAGCTACAGGCTGAACATTATATAATTAATATAAGCTTATTGTGATTATCTGGGACCAGGTAGTCAGGACTGAAAAGCTCCACCTCCATTTACAGATGTTGGACTCAAAAACCTTTCCCCGGTCTAGTGAGAATGACCATGTGGTTAATGTGGTGGATTATGCTTATTGATTTATTGATTTTTATATGCTAAACCAACCATACATGTCTGAAATGAAGCTGACTTGATCCTGGTGGATTATCTTTTGGATTTGTTCCTGAATTCACTTTGCAGTATTCATTGAGATTTTTGTGTGTCTATTTTCATCAGGGAAATTGGTTTATAACTCTCTCTTTTTTGTAGTGTCTTTATCTGGTTTTAGTATTGAGGCTTTATTGAAAAAAAATTGGAAGCATTTCTTCCTTTCCCTTTTCACAGAATTGTTTTGGGAGTATTGGTGTTAGCTCTTGAAGGTCTGATGGGACTTTGTGCTGTATCTATCAGACCCTAGGGTTTTTTTTTTTTTTTAAATTAGTTTTGAGATTATTTTCATTAGTGCTTGGTTATTATGATTTACATCATTTTAGTTAAACTTTGGTAATATATTTCTAAAAGTTCATCCGTCTCATCTAGATTTAACGGTATTAGAATACAAATTTTAAAGCATGTCCTTAGGGTTCTCTAAATTTTCTGTCTGTTGTAATGTCTCATTTTTCATCTATAATTTAATTTACTTGGGTCTTCTCTTTCTTTTGGTTAGTTTAGCTGAACTTTTGTCGGTCTTGCTAATCTTTTTATAGAACCAACTCTCCATTTCACAGATTCCTTGCATTGTTTCTTTCATTTCTGTCCATTGACTTCAGTTCTGATGATGATTGTCTATTCCTGTCTCCTGTTTGGGGTGGTGGTGGTTTAGTTTTGTTTTTCCAAGGTCTTCAGGCACATCATTAAGTCATTAAATTTGAGATCTTTCCAAGTTTTTAGGCAGGCACTTCGCGTTATAATCTCCCTTCTTGGGACTGCTGTCATTGTGTCCCACAGATTTGAGTATGTTGGACTTTACCATTCAATTCTAGGAATTTTAAATTTTTCTTTTTCTTCCTTAACTCAATTATCATTCAGTTATTTGTTGTTTAGTCTCAATGAGTTTGTGTACTTTATTTTTTAATTGATATCTGTGGTCTGAGAGAATTAAGAATGTTACTTCTGTTTCTTAGATTTGTTGAAACTTGGTTTATGTTTTAACAATAGCTACAACAAAATTCTGTTTTCTAATCTAATCTAGTCTGCTCTCCTGTATCTTTTTATGAATATCCATTACTATTTATGGTTATATTGAAGATGTTTTCAGTGCACACACAGGAAACAAACCCCAGCCAGAAACCTCTGTGTTCATCTTGTTCTGGTCTTGATCAGGGTTCCACTAGCTTCAGGAATTTTTAATTTTATTTCTAATTACACTCCTGTGTGTAAGGCTATAGGCCATGTGCACTTGAGTGCATGGACTCTGTGGGGCTGGAGTTACAGGTGGCTGTGATTGCCCTACCCTGGGAATCAAGCTCACTGAGTTCTCAGCCATCAACCCACCTTTCCAGCCCCCCATTTCTCCTTGCCCTCTTCTTAAATGTCAGCATCTATTTTAAGGCTTTACATGAATAGAATTGTGTATACATGTGTGCAAGTATGTATTTACCTATAGTCCTTAACTTTTTAAAAATAATTCTACATTATCAATTTCATTATCTTTGACCACATTGATAATTTCAATGTTGCTGTTCAATTATTTTTTGTATAATCCTTTTTCTTATGCCACTTTGAAAACTTTTTCCATCAGTGTTGTGGTTTAAGTAGGATTTCCTACTTACTTTAAAAAAACAACTCACCTACCCCAATTATTTTAGTCTTGTTCACCAAGTTAGTTCTATAATGAGTGGAAATAAAATTTTTAAATTTGTTTTAAAAATTAGGGTCTTACTTTATATGCAGCTTTATAATTTACTCCAAAAATTAAATTGTGAGATACTTTCCATGCAACTATGCATTCTTATATTTTTGTGGGTTTATAGAACGAGAGCAATTTACTCAACCTGATGTTGGTTTTTGTGATATCCTACTCTGGTAAGTGCCATACAGAATGCTTTTATTCCGCCCCCCCACATGGCATCACTGAATTAATGAGGGCTTTTATCAAATAAGGATAAAAATCAGATGTCTTCAGAGAACTGGAGATTACTCTAAGGGACCTAAGTAGATGGTGAAATTATAAAATTTACTTGAAAATAAAACATATGGGTGATTGATGTTTTACCAACCCCTTTTATTTAATGGCCCTCTAATATTCTTTCAAAATTGTGTCTGTTGAGATCACTAGCAACTTAACAAAACACCAAAACATGACAGACAGCCTGTGAGCTTCTGAGACAGGAGGTAGATCTTTCAGTATGTGTAATTACTCTAAGAGGAATAGGATATCATGAAAGCCTTTTGTGATTCTGGGTATTTTTATACTAAACATGTAGATTCTATCCTGGAAGCTAATATCACTCAAGAATCTTTCTGTGGAGGAACACATGCTGATCATGCCTTCTTCTAAAGCTTAGAAGAGGGGCAAGTAGCCACTCAATTCTGCTATCCTTAAACACAATACACGATATAGGGTGTCTCTCATGCAAGAACACTTGCTTAAAGCTAATGACCAAGCTTGGCCATTTGGGAAGGGGCGCCTAGGGGAAAGGTGCTATGCCACTTATGTCTTTTTAAACAAGCACTTGTTTTTCTTTTTAAAATAGCACAGAGCCAAAAGTAAACTCTGAAATTACAGCATGAGGAAAATGGTGTCTGCTAAGTGCAGGCCAATGGCAAAGGACCCACATATTAACTTAGCTGTCCAGTGTGCCAGCCAAATCTGTTACTAGAGCTAATCTTGCATTTGGAGAATCATGCTGTTAAACAGTATGAGATTCCAGAGAAACACCTTTATAATACCAACTTTGTTGTATTCACACAGTCTATTAGTCTACATTGACTCCCTTTTAATAAGTTACTTCCCTGTCATATTAGTTACAACAAACACCTTGAATTTTTAAGTAATTTATATCTCTTTGGAATGATGGGGGGGGGGACCTAAAACCAAAAACCTCTACAGCCTGTTTCCTATATAAAATTTGCATAGACAATTAATAGTATATCCTTATTAACATAACCTTTGCTGTTAACAAAGCCCTTCTCCACAAAATACCCTTCTAAAATATTTAAAATCTGAGTAAAAATATTTACTTGATGTTGTGAATGTATGTTTCTCTTATTGGTTGATGAATAAAGCTGTTTTTGGCCAATGGACAGGCAGGATGTAGCCAGGCAGGAAGTATAGGTGGGGCTACCAGACTAAGAGAATGCAGAAAGTGAGTCTTGGGAGAAACACTGTGTAGCTACTGATAGGATGCCTGGGCATTTTCCAGTAAGCCAAGACCACGTGGAAATATAGATTAATAGAAATGGGTTAATAATTAAGAGAGAGCTAGCCAATAAGAAGTCCGAGCCATTGGCCAAACAGTTCATAATTAATATAAGTCTCTGTGTGTTTATTTGGGACTAAATAGCCGTGGGACTGGAACAGAAACTTCTGGGTACATCTATAGGATTCTTCATCAAGTGTAAGTAATTTCTGGCTTACAGCATCCAGAGACAAGACAGGGTGTAACACTAGTAATATGTCACTTTATACCTTCCTTCATTTGAATACATAAAATATATATGGATATAATAACTTTCCTATGTCAATCTATCACTGTTAATATATTTTAAAGTCAACTATGCAATTTCTCTAAGTTTAATTTTTTTTAATGTTCTATTCTTTGTATGTATTAGATAATCAGTTACTAGTTTCATTTAGACCATACTTCACCCACCTAACACTATCAAAGCAGTTCAACTGGACGTCTTGGCTGATGGATGCTGTGAAGTTTACCAAACATGGAGATAAATCACACGTAGCACTTGTTTTAGGAGAGGTAAAGTTTACTTAGACATCAGCAAAGACAACACCATTTCCATAGTCTACAGAAATACAATAATATACAGCTGGTTTGGTACATGGCTCCATGTTAAAAAACAAATCTAATGGGAAAGGAAATGGTTCATCTTATTTCTCTGCCATTTATCATAATTTAATAGGTACATCATTATGTTCTGGAAGATGGCTGCATAGATTAGAATCCTAGGGCTGCTGGTTAATATACATCATTATATAACAAGAATAATAGAAAACAAATAGGTACAGATATACAGTAAGCATGCAAATTAGGCTATTATTTTGAGGAAACAGGATAGACTTTAGTGAAAACTGAAAACTCTGTTGTTATTGCACCATCAGTACTGTATAACAGTACATATGGTATTTTACATGGCACAGGATTTCCTCCTCTTCAAATAATGCTTGGCAAACTGGATCAGGTCAATCCAATTTCTAGAGCAAATTTAAATTAAAATGAAGGAAAACTCTATTAGATATCTTTCTAAATAATCTAAATAATCCATAAAGTACTGAAATTTCATGTCTACTTGTCACCTCCAAATTTAAACAGGTTCACACTTTGTACCCTGTAAATCTGCGCTCCTGAGGCAGCAGCACCTAGCCACATGTGGCGCCTGAGGACAGGACACACGGCCAGAGTGGAGGGACAGTGAGTGAGTGCAGACCACTCTCAACTCTGAAGACTAAGATAAAGAGAAAAAAAGGAGACAGGTAGCGCCTTAATTGTGTTATGTTGATTACATGTTGAAATAGTATTTTAATAGATTAAGTTAAATAAGATATATTATTAAAGTTAATTACACTTCTTAAACATTGCTACTAGAAAATTATAATTCTTTTTCGGCTCACACTACATTTCCATTGAATACCACAGCCATAAACAATACATGATTATGTTACTCTTAGAATTTACATTTAATCTTAGCCAAAAGTCCAAGTGATAACCTTAGAATTTAGCATAATTTAATCAGTCCGGGATACTAAATCCCAAAATATCACAAGTGTACTTTGCACATACCTTTTTACAAAAATTTATTCTTATTCCCTTCCAGGATACACATTGTAACTGTAAAGAATTCACAAGAGATTTAATCCTTTTAAAACTGTGGATTGCTATACGTAGAGCTAAAGGAACTTCAATACAGACTGTTACAGCAGGTAAGTACTATCAGTGAAGACAGAGTCTCCAGGAAAGCTAGCTAGCCTAACTAATACTTAATGCCCGGGATATGATGGTGCACCATGAAACATGGTAACGCGTCTGATGTTAACTGCAGCCTACTGAACACTCTTTTTGGAAAATCTACTAGCGATGCAAACTTAACACAGATGGCGACTTCTAATAGCAGAGTATAGTATCTGAGATCTTTCTCTTCAGTGAAAGCTCCTCAGTTTTATAGTGTTAAAATAAACCATTAACTAGCATACAAAACCCCGAGTTCAGAAATAGTCATTGCTGCATTTTAAAGTCCTTCTCTTTGTTTTTGTAACAGTATATAAATATTTGGGGGTACTTATAACACCTCATCTTTTATTTGTTTCCAGCTCACAAACAGTAATGTGATCTAGTCTAGTGTACACTCCATTACTCTCCTAGAACAAAATACACCAAAAATAGAGCTGACTACAGCCAGTGACACGATCATGCATCAGCAAGCTCACTGGAAGGCAAAGCCATTTATACTTGCACTACACACACGCTTCCTCACAGTTCAGGTAGGAATGTATATTTCAAAACTGTTCAAATCTCAGAAAAGGTACTCAGACTACAATATCATTGATAAATTTTTTTCATCCTCACGTCAAACATATTCTGAGAAAATTATATGAAGTCACCGAGCCCAACTTCCTATTTTATCATCATCACTTTTACGGCACCAGAGAGCAACTGAGAATTGGGGTGAAATCAAGAGTCTCTGCCAGAAAGTGCTGGATATTCTAATACACATGCGGGCTACCCAAGACGGCCGCAGCTCTTTTAAGCATTCAGCTGCCAATATTTAAAGACATTTATTAACTGTGTCTTGCATAACAAGCTATTGCTTAAATTTTTCATAACTCCTATCTTCATACCATGGTTCTATTAAACAATATTTTTATTACGTTTCTAACTGCTGCCTAAACAAACAAGTGTAATAATTCATGTCATGTAATAACATTTTCAGTGTCCAACACAACACTCTACAAATATAGTCTTCAGTGAAGAGATGGCAATGGTCTCCTTGGTGAGAGCTGTTAGTTTGATGTTAAAGCAATAGCTGACTAAGTACTTCATATCTGCACTCCACCTATACCACTTCCTAAACCAACAAAAAGCTGACTGCTCCAGATACCAGACACTGGATGCAGGAAGAAATGAATAATTCCAGGGGAGTGACCTGTGAGTTGACATTAGTATACTTCCCCATGGCACATAAAAAAAAAAAAAAAACCTCATATGTATTATCTATCACTTTATAAACATGAACAGATATTGTTGTATGCTACACAGTGCTTTGAGGAAGGTGAAATGAAGGCTGATTGCTTAAAGAGATGGAAGAAAGCAGAATAACATGGTTTATAAATCACCAAACCCCTAATAAACAGTTCTTACAAATATTTAATAAGGCAAGTGGACATTTAGGTCAGTTTCCAACTTTGCTGGAGGAAGCTGTCAGTCAAGAAAATCACTTTAAATAAGAAAACTTTGAGAAAATATAAAACTAAAAATTCAGGGATAAAATCTTTTGTAGAAAAAGAAAAAATCATGTATGTCGATCTTTTTAGATGTATGTGAACACACATACATTCAGATACCTAAAAAGAATCTCAACTCTGCTTGCGATATTACATGGTCTTGCCTTGTATATTTAAACTTGAGAATGTATTTTTCTTACATTATTCTTTTTTTTAATGTGCATTGATGGCTTGCCTGCATGTATGTCTGTGTGTCAGATCCCCTGGAACTAGGGTTACAGACAGTTGTAAGCTGCCATGTGGGTGCAGGGAATTGAACCCAGATCCTCTGGAAGAGCCACCAGTGCTCTTAACCTCTGAGTCATCTCTCCAGCCCCAGAATGTATTTTTCATACAAAATAGTATAATACACCCAAAACTAAGAATGTGGACAACAATGAGAGAGATATGTTAATATCCTTCTCCAGTATCTATCAGTTCTGACTTGTTTTCCACAGCATGCAAGGCATTATGTGATTTCTGAACTTGTCTGGGTCTTGCATCTTACACTTGCAGAGAAAAAAGAAGCCTTACGAGGCAAAACAGCTGTCAATTTGCAAAACAACAGTAATTATTTACCTCACTATGATTTTTAAAGGCTGAGAATGTCAACTGAAACAGAATATAATTTTCTCCACTTCCCCAAAATAAAACTATAACACAGAAATCCTCTTCATGGGCGACATTTATAACATTCACAACACAACTACAGGACAAGCAGCAAGATAGTATGTATTAGATTTTGCATATTTATGTTCAATAGCTAGCAATGTACTTGGCATACTTTGCTTTTTCTTTTTGGCAACAATATAAAATTTTGTTCTAAATTGATGAAATCTTCTACACCCTGAGGAACAACAACGGACTAATAAATGTCAGGGTTAGCTTTCTGGCTCATGCTGTTGTTCAGGAAGCACAAACCACATATATAGTTAATACCCTTTCAAGCACACTGTTTCACCAGCAGATCAATTGAACTGCTCTGTATTTGTAAGTGAACAGTCTCTGGTTGTTCTGTGGTAACAGGGATGGTCTGAGAGGGTAAAAAAGTTAAAGTTGAGAGCCTGAGAATTCCCCTCCCACCCAAAATCCATACAAGATACATTGGTTACTGCATCAATTATGAATACAACATAATTAGAGATATATTATTCAAGAATTCTCTGTAACGTACTTTGGAATTTTTACTATAAAGAAAAATTACTTGCTATTATTAAATATGATGGCCCTCCCCTCCCCTTCCATATAGAAATACATAAAATTTGAAATTTCATTTTAGTATTTACCACTTTTCTTTTGGTATTAGCAAGACCTACTTTTCCCCTTGTAACTATCCTACCCCATGGCTGAATTTGGGTGGGAGGGAAGTCTTCTGAATAAGGCAAAGGGTCACTTGGGACAACCACCTGTTCTGTAAGGTGCGCTGGGTGTCTGCTCTCCTTTGAGGACAGGCTGCACAGCTTTTGTGTGTCTTTAATTGTGCACACACTGCCTTGTAATTATGATGCCTCCAAAACACTAAACATTAGTTGTCAAAAGGAAAGGACAAATCCAAGTCTTGGTATTCTTGGTAGGGCACTCAAAAATTGCCAATTATCCAAGTCTTGGTATTCTTGGTAGGGCACTCAAAAATTGCCAATTAATGAAATAGAAATCACAAGATCCTGTTTGAGTCAGTATCTCATTGCATCATAGTGAGCTGTCTGACAAAGTTTCTTTCCTGTTTACTAGCTAAACACAAGAGTTCAGTATAAGATAATCTTGTACCTCACATCGAAGTAAGAAAGGCACTCAAGTTAACATAGTATAGTTATTTTAGATAAGACACTGTGTGACAGACACTATGTGGAATTCTTGGGAGGCTTTTCCTTGCTCACTGTTTCTATAAGACTGAGTTTGTTGAAGTTGTCTGGTACTCCACATGCTTCAGTAGACAGGTGCTCACTACAGACCACGTGTGTCGGGGGTGGGGAGCACACATAGTGCTAGAGCTTGCAGTTTTATTGGAGACAAAAGATATGGTTTACACAATGGTCAAAACTTTTAGAATAAAGCATTTAAAAAATTTAAAGTACATTTTTTCTAATAGCAAAATAAAAGTAAACCCAAGAAGCTTTTTGGAAAAAAAGAGAATAATTCATTTTACTGCTGAATTGTCCCTAATTTAGGGAGCCAACTGAGATGCCTATATGGTGGTGGCTCCATGCCTAAGTTACATTTGGCCCATGTCAGACACCACCTGAGCTGTGTAAGAGAAAACTGCAAGACTGACAATTTGTAGCAAGTTCTACACACACACAGCCAGCATGAACTGAGACTATCTGAACATTAGCTAAATGACAATGTCTACTACACACACAAGCTTTCTGCAGACTGCTGCATATAAACTCAAAAGCTTGCTTCTACATTGCATGTTACATAGCCCTTATTTGAAACACTAAGTGGCTTTTGGTGATAATCTGTACACATTTAATTCTATGACTGACTTAATCTGAGTCTGATTCTCAGCACCAGCAAAAACAAAGGGAGAAGAATTAATGAAGCATTTAGCTTAAGTTAGAACTGTGCCACTAGATTAAGAAATGTCTGGGCCCAGAGCTTCTATAGAAGTAACAGGGGAGAGTAATAGGTATAAAATCCTTAGGCTTAAAAGAAAATCTCTCACACAGGTTCAAGGAATACCTAAAAGGTCCACAGTTCAAGTTGGGAATTGGGATGACTCATGAACAAATACAGATCAACAAGTCTCTAAATCTAAGCATCACCTCAGCTGCTCAAATGTATGCAAGATTTGCTCTTCAACATCATCTAGTGAAAGGAAACAATATTCTTATCAAGTGGATCTTATTGACTCTGAGAGGTTTTAGTGCAGACAAACGAACAGCTAAGAGAATTCTGGAGCTCCATCTCACGGCTGAGAGTTAACAAGTCTAAACAAGGTAATGAAGACACTAAATCTAAATCTCACTTAAATATTAAGGAAGCTAGCCCACATCACTCACTTATAACTCATTAACTTCTTGATCATTACTCTATCATAATGATGAATCTTTCCCATCTTCAAAGAGTGAATTAGCTAACTTAATAAATAGTTATTAAGTCCTTATAATGTGCAAGGCATATGATATATCCTGGAAATACAATTACCAAAACACACAGATTTTAGGGCGAAGTTATGGTAAAAGCCACAGATCTTACCACTTTTGTGAGTCAGTAGTTTAGCATCCAATGGGATGCTATAATGGCCTACTAGTTTCCCAGTAAAGATCAAATGCAAAGTGCCAGTCTAAACTATCTTTTCTTTTTTAAAACAACATAGGTACAGAAGACTATGACTAAATAAGCCCCTCAGTTACATATATATTCTTTCTACTGCATTATTTCATTTGGTCAAAGACACAGTAGCTTGCTAGAGAGGGTAAATGCCAAACACTTAGGGAAAACAAACAGGGGAAATCCTAAGTCCTGTGAATGAACTCTTGAAAATGCTTATTTCAGAAATAACGTAGCATACAAAAGCCACACACAAAAAGGATCTTTTAGATATCTGCATTTTTCCTACTTACTTGCTACTTTACTAGGAAGAAACCATGGTATATGGACTCCATGGCTTCAGGAAAAGGTGGGCTGAGCCTTAGAAGACATAAGAAGGCCGCTAACACCAAAGATGACCAAGATGCTGAGCAGGAGATAAAAAAAGGCATAGAACACTATAATATTTTATCTGATGTTCGTACAGCATATCCTATGCGCGTGTCCTGACATACTACATCAAATATAAGCCCTATTACTTGAGGAACTAAAAGGGATGCTGGGAAAACAGGTAATAGTGAGTGAAGACAGGATTTGGCAGCAGAAACTGCTGTTTCATTTCTACTTAATCTCAGAGGCGCTAAACATAATGTAACGGTTTTCCTATAGAGATCCAGGTAGAACTTGAGGTATTCGATGATTCAAAATGCTCTGTATATAGAAGGCTATGGAATTATGTTCACAATGTTGAGTGTTTTATTATCTAAATACAATAAAACAGTACAAATAATTTGGCTCCAAGAGAGAAAGATCTAAGTACTGGGGCCAGTAGAAACTTTTTCTAGTTCTCTAAGTGTTTCACTCAGCTTAGCAGTCTGCCACCCAACAAGACCATGATGCCCTAGTTAAATTTTATTATTTTTTCTCTTAATGAAGTGTGCCAAACTCAAGTGCAAGTTTTTAATAGAGTCAGACTGGAGTGGTTTGCTTTTCCTTCCTCCCTCTACCTACACTATAGATGACCAAGTATGAAAAAGGAGAACATGCAAAACACGACGGCGGTGCTTATTTCTGTAATCAATGCTTACATTTTGTACATATACAGGAAAAGAAACAGCTTCCACCATTGTGCTGGCTTAGTTTTATGTCAATTTGACACAAGATAGAGTCATCTGAGGAGAGAGCCTCAATTGAGAAAATGTCTCCATAAGACTGGGCTGTAAACAACCCTACAGGGGATTTTTTTAAATTAGTGATTGATGGGAGAGGGTCCAGATCAGTGTGAATGGTGCCATTCCATGGGCTGGCGGTCCTGGGTGCTATAAGAAAGCCAAATAAGCAAGCCATGGAGAGCAAGTCAGTAAGCAGCACTCCTCCATGGCCTCTGCATCAGCTCCCACCTATAGGTTCCTGTCCTGCTTGAGTTATTGCCCTGAATTCTTTCAGGGATGTACTATTTGCTACCTGGAAGTACAGGTGAACTCTTCCCTCTCCTAGTCGCTTTTATTCATAGTGTTTCAACATAGCAACAGAAACCCTAACCAAGACAACCATTAAAAGGGAACAGGAGAAGGGCACCTCTTACTCATACTTCCTGTGTTTATATATATAGGTATTAAATTCACTGACATAAGATAGATAATGGGTTTTGTGGGCCTCCCAGTGCGGGGAGAAGTGGGTAGACACACAAGAAAAAGACATGGACCACTGAGTGATGAAAAGTACGGAATGGACTGGTAAGATATCGAGAAGGGAAGCACACAGAGAAATCACAGCTCATCCGAAGGGGTGGATGCAGTAAGAGAAACAGAGACGGTACTCAACCCATTCCCACCCCGCTTCACCATCCTGGAAAACAGCCCTTGTCATTGAGATATAGCTATAATGTGGACTTTGGTACTTATCCCTGATGAATTTAGTATCAAAGTGTTTTGTTTGATTTTAAAAGTAAAAATTGAACTAATGCTGAAAACTAGTCTTCCTCCCTGGATTTTGCCAGTAAATTCTGACTAGCCACTTGACACAAAAACTTTGCAGTTTATCTAGTATAAGCTCAGTAACTTAAATTTTTTTTTTTTTAAAAAAAAGCTTCATAGGACTACATTTCTATGTATATTTCTCCCACTTTTTATGAGTGATTTTAGAATGAAAACAGTAGTAATAACTAAAAATGGCATTTCTGGGTTTTTTAAAAAAGAATTTATTTTATAAGGGCTGACTTACTGTTTTGGCATATACCAAATATGAGGTAAAAATAATCTATCAAAACTAGTAATAAAAATAATTTTCCAGTACTACAATTACATAAACTCTTAAATTAGTTTAGTTTCTTTTAAATCATCATTTAAAAAATAGATTACATTGGAAGCATTTTTTTTTTTTTTCTATATAAATTCTAACACTCCTGGCTTTGGTTCTCTTAGTCAGTAACTGGAGAACAAGCTTGAGAAAGAAGTGGCTTACATTTTCACATATCCATCTATCTAGCCATTTTAATCTTAAAATTGCAATTAGGTCAAGACCTTCTGCACATGTATTAATATTCTTAAGCTGAACTGCAACTTAAAATTTCAATCTTTAAAGAAACCGTTTATGTAGCAACTGAACTGAGGTGAGTAAAGGTGTGTGAACCAATCTCAAGAACCAAATGAGAAGACAAATATGGAAATATAAAGGGCATGGAATCAAACAGGAAAAAAAAATTAAGACTAACTGCTTAGCAAGAAGGAACTGTACAATTATTTTGTACCCAAAGGAATGCCGGCTCATAACAAAATAAATAAAATGAAAGGTTTCTTAAGCTATAGATGAAGAATACATAGTTAGCCAGTCAGTTCATGCAACTATGGCATTGAGAAAGGAAAGCAATATTGCACTAAAAGGGGAATTTCTTAGGATGAATCCACCCCTCTTACTGACTCAAAGTCACCAGCCATTTCCTGTATGCATTGGCATACCTGGCTTGCTCTACATTCCGACAAGTGGATAGCACTTGATCAATAAACCTGTGCTCCATCTCTAGGCCTACAGGGTCTGGAGGTGGGGTCCGCTTCAAGCGCTTGGTTTCCTGGGAATAGCCTTGTTTGCTGGAGTCATTCAGTCCATCCACTTCCATTGCCTGAGACAGTTGGGGGCTTGCTGGAATCAGGTGCAAGTCATTCAAAGTGCCGCCAGAGCAGTCTACAGGTGACAGGTGCGTCACGTTGGGAGGACACTTGCCATTTAAGTGATGTTGAAGGTAGAAAGCATGCCGCCTGTGACGGGGAGGGGTGGAAGACATAACATCAGCACAAAAGTCAACATTTCCAGGCAAAAGAAGCTGATAATTTAAAAATACACAGTATTAGCTCATACCCAGTTCATAACCCAGAGCTGTCTCGGGGAAGAAGAAAAGTAACTTGAAAGCTCAGGGTTTCAACTCTTACTACTGGTTGTGAGAAAACAGTAGAGCTCTAAAGACTTTTCAGTAAAGATTTACTCAGATCACAGTGAGTTTGTTCTAATTCTAACATGAATTACAAACAGTCAAAGCTCAGTATTCTCCATAAATAATTATATAAAAGAAAATACCACCTTCATTTAGAATCTTAGAAGTAATTCAGAAACAAGGTACACTAAACAGTTCCTCCAGACTAGAAGCATAGCTCATAGTCTCTATCTAGTCTTCTGAAGACACTTTTATTGCATCTGTGTGTGTGTGTGTGTGTGTGTGTGTGTGTGTGTGTGTGTGTGTGTGTGTGTGGGTGTGTGTGTGTTATGTACGGGTACAGAAGTCAATTCTCTCTTTCCACCAAGTTCTATGCTCCAAGTTTGGGGATGGAATTCATGCCATCAGGCTAGTTGGCAAATGCCTTTACTCACTGAGCCATCCCACCAGTCCCTAGTCTTTTAAAATCTGAAGAGCACACCTGTGGCAGTTGGTCTTATTTACGCTTTCTCCTAAACCTCCACTGTAGTCTTCCATATCAGTGTTCCACAGAGGTATGTTAGGCTCTGAGCAAAGCACATAAAAAAATGCCACTCCTGTTTTCAACCTAATAGCAGCTATCACCTAGAATTGCTTATTAAAATGAAAACTGCTCTGCATAATCCCCAAACAGTTTTCATGGTGCACACATCTGCTACACAAACTGTGACATATGAGGTTCTAAGTTGTAATATGTCATTGCTCATTCAAGTGCTAAGGCCTTAACATCAATGTTTTAAGTCTCCTCCTTGCTACTGTGATAAGGAGGTCAAAAGAGCAACAAAGTCACTAACACAACAGCCGCATGTTCTGTCTTTCTTAAGAAGGCCTTGCTGTGAAGAGAAAACATCACTGTCTACTCATGAAGGTTCTAAAAAAGGAAAGATAATGTCTGCCTTCTTCCTGAGTATACTTAGTGTGGATTACAGCTAACAGGCCAGCTAAGCAGTCCATGAGAATGACTAGACTGGAGAGAGGGGTGGGGACTCGGTAACTCAGGAAATAGAGATTTTAAAGGCATTATCCTTGCCTAGCACAGACAAGTCTTTTGTTTATAGACTGAATCCTGTGGCCTGAAGTAGAATTCGGACTTATAAAGATGGAGATACTTCCAAATATATAAATATCCAAAATAAATGAAGCAAAGTGTAAACTTACCTGGACTTTATTTCAGCATGAAGCTTATAATATTAAATGCACTCAAAACCCAGGTTAATAAAATTGATGGCCATGGAGGAGCAGAAATATTCAGTTGGGGGAAGAATAGAGGAGAGAGAGCAGGATGAGAGATACCATATTAGAGGGAGCCA